TGATCATGCGCTGTGCGTAACTGCGTAAGGGCACAAACATGTTCCGGCTGGAGTAGTCCATACTACTCCACTATATTTTACATTGCTGTTTTTGAGCATTTTATGCAGCAAAAATTTCCCCTTTTCGTCACATGACTATTGTACTTGTGGAACTAAGCCAAATTGTTGCCATAATATTATATTCCTCGCGTATTTAAAATTCATCATTACCATTTCATTGGAAAACGTCATTTTTTCCACACTGTTACAGTATAATCGTGATGCGACTATATTAAAGATCTTTAAATGCCTGTTAAAACAAATATAACCCAATATTTTCTCGGTCGCATTGCAAAGCCAAAGACTGCATGGGATTTAAAAAGACAGTGTACCTGTGGAATTTTTGTTGCCATATCTCTCTTCTTGAGATATTAGACTTTAATTGTTTGATAAGCAAATATAGTTCTTCTGACATCACATTACATAATATCAACTCATGATATCTTATTTAGTTATTCATACCGTAAAAAATGTCATTGATGTCGAACTATATCATGTAGCAGCGTGTACGAAAGTTTTGGAAATTTCATTAGATATTTCTCATTGTTTTGTTACAAAGTATTCATTTTACAAACTCGTTTATTTTGTAATGTCGCAGAAATGGCATTTGCTTATAAAAAACTTGAATATTTCAAAAAGACAAGAGCTACAAAAATAAAAGGCAAGGAGGGTACTTAGTCATTGAAGTTTTCTTTGAAGCCAAGTTGTCAAGAAGGCACTTTACCGTTTTATACACAAAAAAATTGTATAAGTCCCCGCTAGGCCACCGGTAATGCTGTGACAAAACAATATCACTGACTATTTTGCTAATTCCTCAATAGCGCGCTCATATTTGGAATTCATTAATGTCTGCATGTGTCTGTTATGTTATACTTTAATGTATTCAAATGTGCAGTGTTTGAATAATACAATATGTAGCAATATGTTGTTTTGATTGTATACGAATGCAAATTAACGGATCGAAAAATGGGTCAGAATTATAAAGTTGCTGCTCCATGCAAGCTCGAATAGTAAGTCAATTTTTATATATTTGCATGTTTTGAAGACCTAATATTGCGCAAGATCATATTGATATCCTTAACAGCCTAATACGTATTGCTTCTAAGATCTCTATTACTTTTTTTTCGTCGCTATAGCAAATCGCAATTATTCCTTTTGTAACATGTAAATATGAAATAAATGGCTAGGCTCGAATAAAAAAATCGAGGCAAATTTCACCGTGTTATCCAAAGCCCAATTTATTTTGTTTTACAATACATATAGTCGATAATTTAGAATGTTTAAAATCTAAATAAATGAACCGAAGATGTATAGATTTAACACGATATCAGATGACTTCTAGCTTTTGAACTTGTTCAAACGCGTTTCGTTATAAGAATATTCAGAATACTCAGTATTGGATGTAATTGCAGATTGATCCATTCACAGGGCAGCTGCAAAAGCATGCACAAGGCAATAATATATTGTTTTATTCGCTCATCGAAAAGTTATTGTAGTGTGCCGTGAGCGAGACAATGCGATGCTTTGCGGGACGTTTTTGTTGAATTGTAAACTGCGGCAAAACACGGCTTGCATGTTAGAAACGTTTCCAATAATTGCGTGTGTGTCTTCTTCCGTGCAGTTTCAAGAACTGATTTCAGAATCAAGACCAAACAAGCGCCGGAGTTAGGTTTTCAACATGGTTCATACCGGTTGGAAATGGATTATCCCTGGACGTTTGGGCCAGGAAGATAAAATGCTCAAAGATATTCCGGAAACCGCTTTGCCTTCAAATTCGTCGCTTTATTACACGTCGACCATCACGATAGAAAAGCGACGAGGCTATTGGAATTATATTTCATCTTTCGATCGAAATCTTACTCAAACACACAAGCACTACGTCGCTACCGTTTTGTGTTATCCCAAACTGTTCCGTTCCAAACTGACGATGATGGTTGACCAAAGACAAAGCGATATGCCTGTCACCGTTTTGGAAGAGACCGAAGCGACTGCGGAGTCGCATAAATATCACTCCGAGATAATTTTGTGCCAAATTCAAACGAATCACTATATTACGTCAGCAGTATTTACTCCAAGCCAACTTGAGCTAACTTACATGTTTAGTTTGAAATTGCGGAACTCTGACGCCGGTGGCGAATACAGCACCGATAGCAACTGCGAAGAACCCACCAAGTGTAGATCAGTATACTGGATATACAGATGCTAAAGTAGAGTATTTTTTATAGCTTGTTTCAAAATGTGTATTTACGTGAAAAGTATTTGTGTGAAAAGAAGATTGTAAAAGGCGGGATTTATACCGCGATAAACAAAGGTGTATTTGTCGTCTCAAAATTAAACAATAGTTTAAGTTTGATCGCACATAGTAGGATGGCTTATTGCTTGTTTAGTATCGTAAACTAGGAAAGGGCGTTCAGAGGAATACCTAGGCCAAGGCAGCTGCCTCCCAAGACCAAGTCATACCTCACAGATTCAAGCGAAAGAGAATATCGAGTTATTTTAATGTAGCAAATAACTCCGGGCTCCTCCGGCTGAGCGCTCAAAATTGAATGAAGAGTTTGGCGTTTCGAGGGCCGCACATTCTTTACCGCATATTGACCCAGCTGTTAGACAATCAAACTTAGTGTGACTCCAGACTTCCTGCGAGTGACGTCATTTTAAGAAATTTAAAGGTCCATTAGCACAGCGAAAAATCCTTTACGACAAACCTAGCTGTAACGCCAAAACGTTCATTTCGATTTTTCAAAACAATAGCAAAGGTTGTTATTCTAGTTCTTAGCTTTAGTATTAAGCGTAGTATCGATTTGTAGTCAATTTGCTTTCTGCTTGATCGTAATATCTCTGCCTTCGGTTCGCTTTATACTCCTCTATTCGCTGAGCCTCTTTCAGAGGATTATCGCAGCGATTTCGCCACCTGATCGTCTTCTCATCGCGAGCTGATTCATCGTCACTACAATAAGGCGGCCATTTTCTTCCGGAATTGTTAGTCGAGATGATGGCCTCGAAAGACCCACACACGTCACTATCCATGCGTCGGGGTAATTCGTCTTTTTCCATGCCAGCGACTTTGTTAAAATCCGATGGCGATATTTCTGTTAAATTGCATTCGGTCGAGTCGTATATTGAATCCGATGATGTTTCATGTTTGCACTCAATATCCACGTCAAATTGATCACTTTTATTTGAATAATCTGCCATGAAAAAAGGATAATTTATTGCAAATTTTTCACAAGGGAAATTTAGTGAAAAAAGGCCTTCAGGAAGGCCCCCAAACTCTCTGCAAGGCTCTATAGTCTCATGTAATGTAAGCCCCGTTTACAGTACTCAATTTATCGGTACCCGTACCCAAAATAAGTACTTAAAATAGGTACCCGTACCCAATTTTATTAGTGTTCAGGCTACCAAAACAAAGGCGGAACACAGATGAAATGTGTACGGGTACCCATTGGTGATCGAGTGTATTGTAAACGGAGCTGTGGTCTTTGTGGCCCAGGGGTCGGTTGTATAAAACTCATTAGCTACATTTTGCATAGTTAAATCCTAGTTAACTCAGAAATACACGGCTCTGATTGGCCAATTCTGTCCACAACTTGGTACAATTAAAAGTTAACTAACCTTTTATACAATTGGCCCCTGTAGTCCTTATCCGTGTCATTTTTTTGCACGCTTTGTTTGGAAATCTGGTAGTGCTTGGTAGCATGCTAAAATGAAGCTTTATGCATGCGAGTATTCATGTATGCATGCTGCACTCCACAAAAATGGAATTTTTTATAGATCAGTTACATTTAGGTTCAACAAACCATTTCACTGCTCAGTTTCTAGTCGAACTATTGTTACGTTGCGTTAACGGGTGTATAATTATATGCCAATCATGTCTTTTGAATTTGAACTATGAATGCAATTTATTAATTGTATACCTGTTATTTTCTGTATACAAATTGGTGTTACCGCGTTGAATTTATTTTCATGTTTAGACTTTTTGCGTTTCTTTCTAGTCTTTCGTGATCTTTTTTCAACAGGTTTTTGGCTTTTTCCTCCCATCATTCTATCTTTTTAATTTCCCTAAATCATTTTAATTTGAGCAGTTGCCACGGTAACAATTATTATGTATTTCCTTATCATGCCATTAGTGCGCGCGCAGAGCTCCTAGCAAATCAGGGTTTAATTAAGGTGGCTCCCTTGACGAAACCAACATAATGCATACAGGTATTGGAAAACTGACAGTTAAACTAAAATACTGCCGTTTGACATTGGAAGAACATAAACCGTCTTCATCCATGGATAAATCGAGGCTATGAAGCACATAACTGAAACGTACAGAAAATTACACTTCAAAAGCCAAAAAAAATCTCTCAAAAACTTTCTAAAACTCTTAAAAATGCAAAGTTCACTCCTGATTCACTCTTGATTGACAAGTCTCAGATACTTGCCAACTAGCAATTTTGTTTGCATTTTTAGTAGCCATTCAGAATGCATAAATTTTGTCTGCTTGTGGCAAAAACGCAAATTATTTATGTACACCATTTTACATGAAGTATTGCAAACCTAGGCGTTCTGATTGGCTTTGCCGAAAAATGTAAACAAACTTGCTGATTAAGTTGAAAAAGAAATTCCTCCTTCTTTCGCAGAATTAAAGGTCGCATAATTATTTGGTATTGTTAGGTTTTCCGTTAGAAGGCGAATTCCGTGTGGAAACTTCTACAATATTTCGTTACAGGTTTTACACTACAATAAGACTGCTTCAACACTTCGTTTCGTACGTTTCGATTTTACAATATTTACATCGTATAGATATTACATTATAGTACATATAATATATTCATCGTATGACTATAGACAATGCCGTAGGTATAATGTATAATATAATATATACATCATACATGTATCGTGTAGATTTATGCAGAAATATCAGCAGCATGCAGCTGATGCTAATTGCTAAATTATAGGAAAAACGCGGGCTCGTTTAAATCAACTTTTACACTTGATTGGCTATCTCGATCTCTTTCGACCAATCGTATTTCATTATTTCGTTTGTTTCACTCCGCTGGACAAGGTTCTGTTCTTTGACTTGGATTTTTGATGACATATTTGGAAAATATACCAAATATATAAGTTTTTATAGTTTTATGGATTTAAATGGTGCTGCAAAAAGCCACGAAACCTTGGAAATGGCTTGTCTAAAGGAAGGCTTTTTATAAACGCAGAATGCAAAATGAGTTTGTTACCGTTAAACGACCGAAATCTCGCTAGGAACGAAGATGAAAGTATTGATCAAATTGATGACTGCAAGAACGAAGATGTTTCCGATATTTTCGAGTGCTTGACACTGGATTTCAGCCCGTATGAAACGGTACATAGATGGAAACGAATGCCAGCTTGTGATGAGTTTGTAGGAGCGAGGTATAATGTCAGACAGTCAAATTTACTGACACACAGACAGTTTGTTTTTTCAAGCTCTAGAAATGACGTCATTTGTAGCAATTAGAAATCTTTAATCAGAGACTTCAAAGTATTCTAATGTTCATTTATTTTGCATCATGCTTGCTTCATCTTCAGCAAAGTAATGTTGCAAGAGATACTATCCAAAATATTTGGACAGTAAAAGTGAACAATGTAGTCTTAAGTCTAATTACCTTGGTGTATGTAGATCTTGTATGAAGCATCTGATTGCAATTGAGCCTTGCTATCAGCAAATAAACATAAAAATGGTACAACTATAACAACTAGCTATAATTCAATTTTGTATAAATAAACTTTGTTTTGTCCTTGACAGACGCAGCAAACATACAATGGTTGCTTACAATAATGCTCTGTATGTTTTTGGTGGCGATGACGGGTGAGAAAATCAATATATTTACTTTACATAAGTGAGTTGTCACATAACGTGATTAAATGCTTGCTTAATGCAATAATTGGTTATCCCAACACTGGCCAACAGACAAATAACAAATTACACAAAATGTACATACTTTAGTAAGAAAGTTTTTGTAAGAGTTGACAAAAAGGTGGTTGGGTTGCCAAGAAGGCATTTTGCTGGCTTATTCACATTGCAAGGGGGGAGAGAGGGAAATATTATCCAGGTCATGTGAAATGGCAGGAAATTAGGACTGGGACTAAAATAAAAATCCATTTCTTGGATTAAACCAACTTAATTTGAGAGATTGCAGTTAGCATGTTCTTCTTTAAGCCTAGATGCCTCATCTTAAACTCTCTTATATATGTTGGAATATATAATTTTTTGTTTTAATTGTACATTGTGAATTTCAGGAAACGAATGCTGAATGATTTGTTACGTTTTGATGCAAAGGACTGCTCATGGGGAAGGTAGTTTTTATATAAAGTTGATTTTTATACACCATTAGTGGTTGGATGAAATGTTGTTTAGAATTGCATGTAGTTAGGGTAAATGTTATATTCCTACTTGACATCTTGGAATATTTATCAATGATGTACCAATCTCATTCCACAAACCATTTACCAGTGAAAAATATACTTTTTTATTTTTGTGATGTGCAGAGTGGTAACCACAGGCAACCCTCCAGCACCAAGATACAACCATTCTGCTGTTGTTTATGGCACCAGCATGTTTGTTTTTGGTGGTTTCACCGGTAAGAGAAAACAGAAGTCTTTTTACACTGGTTCTTCGCAATACGAAAGATGATCAAACATACAAACAGCTCAAACTTATTTCTGTATTTCTGAAGGTGATATAAACTCGAATTCGAATCTTCTAAACAGAAATGATCTTTATAAGTTCAAGTTTACGAATGGTCATTGGTGTCATTGGCCAGTCGAAGGAAGGTAAAGTTGTGGAATCGTTTATATATTTTGTATTTCAACCAAAACTCGGAGGTGTAGGTTTATGCAGTTTTACATGAGGTATCTCACAATTGTTTTCACATTTCCAAGGGTGCCTCCAGCGCGCTCAGCCCATGGTGCGGCTGTTCACGATCACAAGTTGTGGGTGTTTGCGGGCTATGATGGCAGTAAGAGGTATGAGTTTGTATTAACGTAGTACGTACAGTACGTAATAAGCAATTTTTAAGATTTCATGTGACGTCATAGTCACGACGTCATTTCCGTGATGGTCAAATGACTCAAATCGAAATCGAGACTGGGCGATCGGAGTGAGTTGGTTCATTATTCTATTCCTTTGTTTTCTGCTTGGTCGAAAATATGTACAATTTTGTATCAGTGGCTCAGTTCTGTGCTGCGTTGAAGCATCTTAGGATGACCACTGATTACATTTCTTAGTAAAACTCACCAATCGACAATTTGCATGTTAAACTAACTCTTTCTTTTTCAAATTTTCATTATTCTTGAAAATTTCAAATCTAGACTTTTGACAGCTTTCGGGAAGACTGATTACTTTACAGTGCCCACACATAAGTAGAAGCAAGCGGTTTCCAAACGTGCAACGTTGTGGGTAGTGTCCGGGAACGTAAGAACCAATGTGAGGTTACCTCCCCTTTTGTGACCAGGTGATCTCGCGCTCGTAAAAACCAAAATAACAAATCATTCTGCAGTCAATAATTTGTTATATTTAGTCATCTATCCAGTTTTACTACACACGTCAGTGTATGAAACCGTAATTCGTTGTTTTCACAGGCTCAATGACATGTGGGTGTTGGATTTAACAAGTCTTGATACTGCCTTATGGCAAGAAGTAAGAATGCCATTTTTTTCACCAAACAACTAATTACAAAAGTGTAGAAGCAACATCATTAATTGCCACAGGGATGCCTTTTCCCTCCTGAATTTTTCTAACCCCCCCGTCATTGGTGGGTATGGTTGGCTACACGTATCTATTTATCTTAGGTTCGTCAGATTGGCGAGGGTCCACCGACATGTTGCAACTTTCCCGTGACCATCGCAAGGGACACCATGTTTGTTTTTTCTGGGCAAAGCGGAGCGAAGATCACGAACGATCTCTTTCAGTTTCACTTTGACACAAGGCAGTAAGTGTGAACGTTTTCCTGGGATGTTTTATTTGTGTTGAACCAATTTGCGCCCCATTATTGTTTGCTAGCTCCGTCTCCGCCATTCCGTCTTCCGCACAACGAGAAGTACAAGTGTGGCACACAAATAGAATGAAGGGTTCCTTCCGTTGTGTGACCAGCTTCGTACCCAGGCGCTTTAATAGTAAAATATACAACGTTGCATTCAGGTATTGTATAGAAGTTAGCTGAAAAAAGCAAGCGCGCAGGGGTGCTTTGTATGACGGTGGTTTTGGAATTGCGACTTTGTAACTATCAGAAACTATACTTAATATTTTTTTATTCTGTACAAAATAATGTATAATATAAGGTTTAAAGTAAACACTATTATTCTAAACACATGTTAATACTTGAAAAAGTGACGGAACGTTGGAGCCACACCCTAGAAACGCGACAACTACTCGCATTTTATGGTCCACCTGAATACACAGTAAAAATATTTTCATGCAGTGACAGATTCAATTTTGGATTAAACACGACGAAATTATTATTCTGGTTTATTCTTGAAATACTTCAAAGCTCAATTGTCAAGCCTTCGTATCGAATTCAGATTGCCCCTAGCCATTAGCCGGTCACATTTGCCCGACCTACCCCCAGTCTGCATGTGTAAGAAGGGAAGATGTCAAATTGCCTGCCGGTCTGAAAGACCGAGGGTAATATTTCATTTTTCTGAATGAAAGATAAGCTGAATATCTTCGCATATTTCTGAAGGTGGCGACGCATATCCAATGCTCACATTTTACGTGGATCTCCACCCTCACCACAACGTCGGTATGGTCATACTATGGTTGCACACGAGTCCTATCTCTACGTGTTTGGAGGAACTGCTGATAATATCCTTCCAAATGATCTGTACTGGTATGTATCGTACGATCAACCACTTACCAATCACATTTTAGATTCATTATTCAGCAATTTTGATTGGGCGCCAACTTTTTCACTTTCCAATCAAATTGACTTCATTTCTTGACCAGAAAGTTTGAATTCCTGATTTGAAGTCGCTCACTAGTTCGCGGCGCTCACTCGTTCGATATCATTCTCAACACTCAAAATAAATTCCATATTTCCAAGCATACATGTATTATTCTCTATTTATTTAATATATTGTAATTCAAATCAACTAATTTTACTGTCAATTCAAGATTCGCTGAGACACTAACCGTGCCGAGGCTAGGTGCTTAAGATTGCCACAGAAGCGTCGTCATGTGGAAGGAGGGGAGGGACGGAGTTTTCTGCCTAAGTCTTATTTTTATGTCTCGAGTTTCCCGAAAGAACTTCAAATGACTTTAACCAGATTAACTGTGCTTTAACTTTGCGATTCTTTCCTCGGAACAGAAATATTTCCGAATGAGATATAAAAGGATTCTACAGCGCATGTGCATGCACTGATGCTTTCGGTAATAATTACATATACGTTGTGTATACGCTGGCTTAGAGGTCCAGATAAAAACTATTTTGCCGAAGTGAAGGTATCAGGTTTTGAGACCGGGAGAAAATATTGTTCTAATCCGCCAACTGCTGATTTGTAAAAGAATTTTAAATTAAGTTTATTTACAAATTGCTGAATTACGATCTATAGCTTAATATGTTAAATGTCATGCGCTTGTTCCTTAGCGCACATTATTCGCACTGAATCAATGAATTATATTTCACACGTTATGAGAACTGATCCCGTCGTAAATCGTAAAACTGCTAATGTTTATTTCTGCATCCCATAGTTACGATCTTGACGACCAGACGTGGCATGTTGTTGAAGTCTCAGAGGACAGTCAGGTAAATATGATAAAGGAGTCGTGCAGCATATGAGCTGTGTATTTTCACACTTGGAATTATTCTATATATGTCACAACTCTATATGACAAAAGTGAATGGTATATATGTTTTATAACGCCTGTTTCGGACGTCGAACTTTTCGTGTGCTGAATCATTAGGTTGATGAGTTTAAGTTTTTCTTCATTTGCATTCGAATCTTACACTAGCCATGGCCAGAACTTTTGAATAATGAAAATGTGCAAACTTTTATTAAATTCTTGTCACAAATTCTCATTGTATTACTGGATGTTTTCACTAATTACCATATACCAGCGAGTAGCTATATTATAACGGTCGCGAGACAATATGAATTAAATTTCCGAGTAGGAAGTATGCACATAGCCATTGGTGAAGAAACTTAGTCCTAAAAAGTACAAACTTCGGCTTGATAATTCTTCATATCATGTTCAACTTCATTCAATAATTGTCAACTGTTGAACTCGCAAAAGAAATCCGTCCGGCAGATTCACTCCCCAATCGTTCTAGCCACGGCACTGTCACCACTGTCTGTAAAATTTCTATTCGCTGGTGATATCTATACTATCGAGTGAACTCCTGACTTAACTTGCTAATTTTAGGTTCCGCATGGCAGATTATTCCATGCTGCTGACGTCATTGATGACGCAATGTATGTGTTTGGTGGAACTCTAGACAACAACATTCGAAATGGAGAAATGTATAGATTTCAAGTAAGGGCTCTCTCGGTGCATTCATTCCATAAACACCATTTGCACCATTTGCACCAGTCGTAAGGTCGAAAAAGTTTCTGTACAGTGGATCAACAATGATTTGTCTTCATCAAGCCTCGATATAGAACAGGTGAAATTTTTCCTTAATCGTGTGTTTATTCACATAGTTTTCTAGCTACCCAAGGTGCACTTTGCGAGATGATTTTGGAAGGCTGCTTGATAGCAAACAATTTTGTGATCTCACGTTTGTCGTAGGAAAGGTATTAATTTTAATATTCCTGATAATAATAATAATGTGAGCACGTGGTTCATATCTGGGAGAAGGTCAAATAATTTTCAAATAGTTATCCGCCACTGATGTGAAATGTGGAACAAGCGGGAATTTCGCTTCAGACTAATTACAAAGTTTGTTTACATTTTCAGTAACCAATCAGAATCCATAAATTTTGATAACTTCCGGTTTTTACCATTTACATGACGTTTTAAAAATTAAGGCATACTGATTGGCTTTGGCTTTGTAAACAATATTCTTCCTTGTTTGAACGTGATTGAATTGTTGCAGGACGAGAATGAAATCGACGCTCACACCACTGTTGTGGCGTGTCGTTCAAGATGGCTTAAGAACAAGATTGAACAAGTGAAAAAGGTTTCTTCTCTATTCAAATTTTAATAGCCTGCTCGCAGACTCAGTTTTTATTTGCTAGGAAAATTCGAAAGGGTTACGGGTTTTGAATTTTTTCCTTTCAAAACTTCCGGTAAATTATAATTTAGTCTGCGAGCAAGTCGAGGGCATAAGAGAAGGCCTGCATGCATGTATAAATAAAGTTCTGTATTTCAAGCAGTCCTACATTGATTTATTTGTTAACATCAGATTGAGGTTAATTCATCCATTGCTGTGGAAGAAAAACTCAAGATAACTATTGATGATGTCCAACCAGAAGCTTTCTCGATCGCGTTGAGATTCATGTACACGGACTCCATATACGCTCTTGTCAAAGGCAAGTATTTGGTTACCACAGCATAAACACAATATATGGTGCGGTTTTCTGACAGATAGAAACGAGTTGATAGTTATGGATAGATATGGAGTATTAGGGCTCTTTTTCACTGTCCCTTTTTTACGTATCGTACACGCACGTAAAAGTTTAAAATAATTTAAATGATACTTTATATAGATAAAATGATTTAAATGATATAGATGTATGTAACGTAACTGCAATTTTTCTGTGTACTGCTTTAATTTCTAGACGTCCCTGAACTTGAAGTAATTCGTATCATTATGGATGTTTATTGTGTCGCCTTAAAGGTAGTTGTTTATTGTTGTCTACGTTGGAATTGGCACTCTGTTTCTGAGCTATCCTACAACGCATGCTTGAATATATCTATGTAATAATATGTATGCCTTCCATGCAATCCGACGTTATAGGCCGGAATGTCTTTGATTTTTTTTAGCTTGAGCTGGGCAGACTTGAGCAAATCTGTGTCCAATATATTGAAACTTCTGTAAACCAAAGTAATGTTTTGATGGCATTAGATTGTGCATCGCGTTTAGAACTGGCCGCATTGAAGGTAAATAAAGAAATGGATAAGATTGGAAAGAAAGTGAAGTTGTATATGTTGAATTTGGTTACTATAGCCACCTATATATATATTCACGTATACATAGCAGATTTATTTTTACTTTTTTTAGGATTATTGTCTTCGTTTTATCGTACGTGGTTCAAACTTCAAGACGATCATAATGACCCAACAGTTTGAAACGCTACCGACCCCCCTGATGGTTGAAATTGTGCGACGTCTCCATTTTCCTGTCGTAAGTAGGACGTCGAGTATTTTAAGAACTGTTCCTATGAACCGGGGCGACTCTTGTGGCTAAAGAAATATTTTCGTAACTTAAACCTTTTTTTACGCCGAGGTTCATTTATGTGTAAAGAGATTTAAGTTGTAGCCTTTTTTGATGTAAAAATATCACATTCAATCTTCCTGGAATAACTCTGTAAAATATGTTAAAACAGCTAATTATTGAAATTGTTTGCTTCAGATTCATCTCTTTTTTATCATTTCTACTGGGTGGATATATACAAACAAAAAATTGGTTGTTTTAACCAAGTTTTTATATAGTTACTTTAGTCAATAAAAATTGGTTTTATGTTTCTAGGCAACAGTACCTGAACCTCATCAACTTACAGTCCATTCAGGTAGCTGATAATCATGTAATAATGGGGCTTGCCCATGCAATTCTTCATATAGAGCTCTGATTAACGAATGGTTTATTAGCATCCCGGATTCCTGGGTTTCCGCGAAGATTGGAATGACTTTGAGTTTTTAGATCCTTTTGTCCATATCCCGCCAGTAATTACCCCCACCTCCCTACTTTGTTTTAAACATCTTTTCATGTTCTTCAGTGTCTTCTCTGGAAGATGATTTGAAGTCATTTTGGCATGAATCAAGTGACGGTAATCTGTGTGATATTACAATGATGGTGGGAGATACCCACATCAGAGCTCACAAGGTAATTATCTCGGTCCCACTACAATAACTATGCTCAGTGCTAAGTCTAAATAATACATCCTATTGAGTTTAGTGACCCTGATTTCAATCCTAAAAACCCAGTTTTCAATGCTGAAAACCGAGTCACTAAACCGGGTTTTTGATAAGGCTGTTCAAATTCAGTTATGTAAAGCTAAGCAAAATCTCTTGATTTTGTTAATTAGATCTTCTTATGTTTAAAGAAGTATATTATATATGCAATAAAATTTTCCTTTCGATTTTTTTACTTCAGGCAATTCTTACAGCACGATGTAGGTATGTTGGAATCAATTTTGAATGTAGCTAACATCGTTAACTGTAATGACGAAACCAACTGCTCACGTCGTTTTATTGTAAAAACTATGTCGAACCTTCTTAAACGCCGTCGCCTTTTAAGGGTTAAAACTGACCTTAAAACCGATCACAAATACTAATTTTCTATAAAGTTTAGAGACCAGGTTTTTTTTTGTTTATTTATATAAGATTTTAATGTAATAAATGTTCATGCGATGATTGCGTTTTGTCTCTCACTATGTAGTTACTTTGAAGCTATGTTTAGATCCTTTATGCCTGATGCTGGGCTCGTCAGGGTAAGTCAAAAACGAGCGGAAGTCAATTCCGTTTGTTTATACATTTTGAACTTCTGTATTTTTACAATAGGATGTGCTGTGTAAATATATATCACACCGCGTGAAGGTCGCTACGCTCATCAATGAATATGCATGAACTAGAGGTTATGTTCAGAAAATTCTAAACGTGCGCAATTTTACACCAGAGGCCTTGTAGCCCGTTCCAACTTAATCCATTTTCACTTTAACCATTTAGCAGAACCAATGCGGATTTCCCTTTAATATTTCTGTGTGCGTGCGTTCATAAAATGCTTGATGTGCTGTCCATTTTTCTAAACCGTGTGTTTTGGAATTAATAGATCACAATTGGTGATACGATTCCATCTCTTCAATCCTTCCACTCTCTGCTCAGATACATTTATTATGGTGACGTGAAAATGCCTCCTGAAGATTCTCTGTATCCTTCCTCATTGAACAACAACGTATTCTGAAATTTGATTTTCATGATCTTTATTCGTCCTGCGATGCTCTACGATCCAATGTCTGTATCGATAATGAAATGATATTTTCCGCATGCTTGACTGACTAGCGACCACAAACGTCATACGACCAACCTTTGAAACCTAAGCCTAAATAATGCTTATTTTCGGCTTATTTTTTATGTAGTTTCCTGTAGGGTTTCACATGCACCAAGGATTTGCCCTGGGTTAAAGCGCATGGTGCCATCATAAAAATCAAGTCCCGGCTTATTTTCTTTGATTAGTTCTTTACCGAATACAATAATTTTATGCTTTGTGGATTTAGTAGCGTGTAGAATAGCGAGAATTCTTAAGGAAGAAGACGATAAAGGTATATCAGCCTAGAAAATTGGTTGTGAGATTCCACGAGAAGCTCGTAGTTTTCCCATTTAGAAATGTGTTCAACTAACATGCATACTTCTGTTGAGATTAGCGTAGCATGTCTCTGTTAAGAATAAAATACGGGTTGCGTTTGATAACGTTGAGTTTTTGTTAGCTTTCGATGTTAATTTTTATCTTAACGTTGGGGAAGATATCTTTTGTCTGCGCCATATTTCTTCGGTTTTACCAACAACAGGCTCCAGGTATGTCATTGTAATGTCGGATGAGAAGTTGTCGTCCTCGCAACTCATACGCCGTAATTTGCTGTAAATCGGTTTTCATGTTCTGGATTACACGTCACAAGGACAAATAATCACGTCATATCCATTTCCTGGTCAAAACCTACTCGTTTTCTGTTAAGACGGTTTCATGAAAAGACTTAAAACAAGCCTGTTGTATGCCCTTGCCATGTATTGGTTCAGAAATTATTGTATTTATTCTCGTTTTTCTAGGCAATTTGTAAAAGCAACTTAGAAATGAATGTCTCTTTCAAAAATGTCGTGGAGGTATTTATAACAGAAATTCATTTTGTTGTATTCGAAGGTTTTTGTTCTATATCGCTTCCAAACTGAATTATTGACAAAAACTTTATTCAAATTTGTTGGTGAGACCGTGGACTAGCTTACGTTGTAGTTGCGTTTTAAGCAGCTGGTTTAAAAAGGTCGATCATAAAGAATTAAAGAATAATCACGTAGTTCTCTAAAGAGTGTATTAGATAGCAATGAATATTTTTAAGGTTTTAGAAGCAGCAGACAAGATTGGTGCGACAGAAATGAAAAAGCATGCTCTCACATTGATTGCACAAGACTTTCCAAAAGTAATGTTATCCTATTTTTTTTAACGTTTTATTCAGCACATTGCATTAGTCCTAATTTTACAAAAACCAGATAGGGTAAGCCGTAAATAACCCCGATTTACTTACCTGCATGCAAGAGATTGTGCATCCCCTCAACTGATCTAAGATTTAAACCCCAAATACATTATTTATTTTTATATTCCAAGTGTCTTACTAAAGGCTATAATCATATCGACACCCACCGTGGTCAAGCAAATTTTTCAGCTCACCCGGTTGTTGACTCAGAGTAGCAACATCACAATATTCATTTCATATATACACCTGAGTCTTATGCACTATTAATATCGACACCCATTCGATATATTGGTTAAGATGGCACTCTCAGAGTTTGAAGTCCCGTTCACACTTCACTCAATTTATTGGTATACCTGCGTACCCAATTTTATCCGTGCTCGGGCAACCAACACAAAAGGCCGCGCAGAGAACGAATTGGTAATGGTACACCTATTTTAGCTGTGCTATGCCAATAAATAAAGTGCAGCGTAAACGGGACTAAGGACCCCCTAACTTCGTTCTTTACATTTTAGGTAACAGAATCGCGCAGCATCTCAAAGCTAAGTCGTGATTTACTGCTGGATATATTGTACACACTGGCAGAGCAGAAGAAAAATTAGGAGAATTTATACCTGAGGCACGATTAGAAAAACAAGGAGTACACTTAGTCGACTCATCCCACAGATTAAAACGGCGAAGTTCAGGTTCATGTTCATTCAGTAATCGGCCAATTTCGTTCTGCTTTCTCCCCCCCCCCGGGCTGTACGAAAGTTGCTTGAAAATACTGTTGATAAAACAATAATCATTGATTTTGGGCAGGTACTGATCTGGGGCTATCACTAAAGAGACTAAAAGTGAAACACAAGCAAATCTTTAAACACAAACAACTTTTCAAACTAACCAATAGCATTTGGAAAATTAGACTAACTCTTGAATCAATCGTGTAAACGAATTGTAATTCAACCCATAGTTAGCATCAGTTGATCTGATGTCTGTTGTAAAAAATACTTTTTATTTTATAAACGTAACAAATTTATCTCGGCAATTTTGATTTAAATCGAAATTTTAAGTTAACCATCGTTCTATAATGTAGTTTTTTACCACGAAAAAACGTTGTCTCCCGCTTGTTTCGCTGTTTTAGGTGCAGCATTTCTTATCAAATTAGCGCATGATATTTTTATTTTTTCACTTCGACAAAAACAACTCGCCCCCATTTTGAAAAATCTGCTTATTTGATTATCGTGTAATGATCGACCAATCAGAGGCCAGTATTTTCATTGTACCTTTGTCATTACATTATTGTATATTTATTATACAGCGACTCTATAATGTGCTGTAGGAAGGCCTATACTGCATGCTTTTTTTTGAGCGAGTAGGGCTTTTTATAAGTCAGGATCGATTCATATATTACATATAATTATATATGAAATTACGAGAGGCCAAATTATCTAAACCTATCAGACTAACTACCAGTTGACAGAGTTGTCACGATATTGCTTCTTGTTCAGAATAGGAAAAAAATTCATTCTTATAGGAAATAATTTAATTTGTGCCACCCGTAACCCCTGCATGTACATACAACGTACGTATCTCATATTTATATTGTCAAATTTTCATGCAATTTCTATTGTATCTCGCTCACCTATAGCTAAGTTCTTAGCATCTCTCAGTTTGTAGAAACTATTCTACTGGAATAAGACAGGTTTAGACGACGAACTTTTCATATATCGAACCCTATTGTCAGTATTGAGCTAAATTCTATTTTTGCAGTTCATTAACTTCTTATCCGTCGAAAAGTTCGACGTCTGAGACGGACCTAACACTATTTTCAAGCCTGGCGCACACGACGCGATTTTTGTCGTACGATTTTAATCGGTCGACTAAACCCAACCTCGTACCCAGGGTCTTTTCTCTGTGCTCACTCTGGGGGGAACACGAACTGCGAGTATAATGCGAGTTGAATAATACGGAGATATGAACTCTGTTATATTTGCATTATTAAGCTGTGCATCGCGGCAACATATCAAGTTTCATATCAAATTTCATAAGCAGAAGCACATGTTTCGGGTGACAAAAGCCAAAAAGTCTTTTATCCCGATGGCTTCGAAGGAAACACCGAAAAAAATTTATCGAGCAAGAAATTCTTCGATTGACCCGTTGTCCTGTAGACTTTGTCGATCTATTGGTGACGCGAATCATCGCAAAAATTTATTTAGTACACTAAACGAAGAATTATTGAGGACTGTAGAGCAATTGTGCGGCCATCCGTTGTTGCGAGATCCAAGTTTGCCTCATCTGTTGTGTCGACCATGCGAGCGCAGACTAAAGCACATTAAAGAATTTCGAGAAGTTGTAAGAAAAACACAGAACGAATTTCGCCAGCAACAACCTTGTGAAACAAGAGTGAAACGGTGCCTAGAAGCCTCACCGTCGGCATCCCAACCACCAAGAACTCGTTTGCACACATCTGGGCCTTCAGCAAGAACTTCGCTCAATTTTGGGGTACAAGTTCCATCTTCTGATAAAGAGGTATTACATGTTGTTAAAGTTGGTCGTGTATATTTACATAAAGCTGCCTCTCAAATTTACATATTGCGTCTTATTAATAATTCATATAAAATATAAAGAAAACATTGATATAGCTTTGAAATCTTGTGTTATATTACTACAAATGCCGCGAAAAAAAAATATTGTATGTTTGAACGTGTCGCTATTTAGTAAAATACCGCGTTTGATTTGTTATAGAATATAACTGCGTTGGATGAAATATTAAACGAGGCGAACAGAGAACTGATTAATATTGCCCGTAAAGACGAGCCATCCGTGCTAAGGAATGGAACATACGCAGGATTAAGTCAGTCAAACTGGATGACAGAAGTGGTAAATGAGCTCTCGACGAGGTGTCCTAATGTTGCAAAAATATTGTCAAGTTTGCTCGATTGTTCTATTTTGGATGCAGGAAATAAACTACCGCCAATTTCCCTAATTTACGGCATTATCATGTTTGTGAGATGTCATCACTTGAGCCGCATTCAAAGAATCAACACCATTCTTCTGACAGAAGGGAAAGCAACTAAAAATGTATGTTCTTTTAAATCCATATTTATAATTTGAAGTTTGTTTGATTAATAGTTAGCACAATAGTCAATACCGCAAGGTTTTTAACTTTTTGTAGGTTTGATTATTTAGATCTTTGAATTTCTAACTGTGCTGTTACTATTAAAACCCAATCATAGACAAATTGTCATGCATAATGCATTCCTTTTATTCAGCTTATGTTCACAATAGAAGTGATTATTATGAATGCTATTTGTTATTACTGTTGTGTTAATCAAGCTACAACTATCATACTTATATTGGTAAACCTTGTATTATTTTGATGTTTATCCTCTGAAACTTTGAAAAAATGCATTTGAATTTTAGCTGAAATTTTTTTAATTACCAGGTAGTGAAAATATTTATTACGATTCATGCCATCAGGGATACATATTTATACATGTTAATCTACTTACTTTTAGTTGATTGATCGATTCAACAAATATGGGCTCTGTTTGAGTTTTTCTAACAAATATGTTGTGCTTGACGATATTGGGAAACATTTTTTGGATCGTGCTGTCGAGTTGGTCAAATCTGGGATGAAATTTGTCTATGTGGTTGATAACATAGATTGGGAAGAGAAAGTGCATGACATGAGAGCAGACCATCAAAACAAGAGTGTGCATGCATGTGCAACTAGCATGGTGTTCAACAGAGTGCCAAGTGACCACTTACCTGACAATGGTCCACAGAAAGATATCGCAACTTGCAATTTTCGTGAAATTGTTTCATTGTCAGATGCAGAAATGACAACAATTCGGAATCGGTATAAAGTATTCATTGCGAGAATCCTGGTTCAAAAGTTCACTGAACTATTTGGTTTAAAGTCCTACATTCCAGAGGATCTTGTACTTCATGAAAATTCTGAGAAGACAGCTTTGAAATCCGAAATTATGACCCTTCCAGTTCTCATGAAGGATGAAAAAAAGTACAGTGACTGTGTGGATGTTTTGGATCAATTGGAGCAATGGACAGAGGATGTGTGCAAAGCTAGTGGCATATACAACTTTGATCAATCTCCATCTACAGCTTCCCATCCTATTGTTCAGGTGCCCACACGCCCAGATCAACCACGATCACATATCCCACCAGTTGGTTCCCAAACTGATCCTTTAGAAGGTGTGAAAATTCCCTGTTTTGGTGATGAGTTGACCCGAGTAAGGTTTGCTGGAGCACGAGATCTTCGCTCTGGATGCCATACACCCAAACAACGACTGGATCATTTGTACCCGTATCGCATTGTTGGATGGCATGCTAAAAGAAGTTTCTTAAAGGTAAATTCCTGGTCATGGATATGATTTTCCTGTTACAAAATTGTGTTATGTTACTCTTTTATATCATTGACACTACCAGCAGTTGTTTATAATCCTGAAAGGTTTTAAAATACATTTTGAACAAATTTATTTGTTTTTGTTTCAACCTAACATATAAAAACCTCGAAAAAAGCAATCTCAGGTTTTTCAGGAAGAATTAACTAAAGCTAGATTTGATTTTTCTGGTTGCATGAAGACATCATGTCTTATGATTGATTTATGACGAATTTTTCAAAAAAATAGGGTCCAATATTGGATCTTGTTACCACACCTACTACCTGTTACAATACTATTACATTGATATCTTGCATCTTGCCCTAATACTACATAGAACATAAAGTTAAATAAAACTTGCATTATATTTGTAGTCTGTCTTCAAAAGACTCTACAAGAACTCTGGAAGAGAAGCAGGTACCATTAGATACTTCCGAGAGGTACTCAACAGGAGAAATGTTACAGTCGATATAAAACATTATGAAGACTGTGAGCAGCTGTTCATGAGTGTTGGCAATTGCTATCTTGTTGAAGCATTGCTAGAGTTCTTCAAGATGGAAAATGTAAACGATTCTCCAAAGGAAAATAATCCATTGCCTGATCAAGAGGATTTGAGTGAAGAAGAAAAAAAAACCCACCTAATGACTGTCTTAGACAAGTTCTTGGATGAGTATGTTTTCCAAGACACTTCATGCAGCGATGTTGACAGTTTAGAGGAAAATATCTCAGACAACAACTCATCAGATGGCATTTTTAATTATTCTGTCAATCTTCTTCGATCCTTCATGGTTCTATTTGATTGCAAAGATGCAGTGGCATATGGGAATGGAGAACATTTGGCATTAATCCAGAAACAGATGTTGTATTACTTCTCATCTGTTTCTGGATTTAATGTATATGCAATTGAAATGCTAGTTACCACCATCCAGAATGAAGTTTTACTCTCACCTGCTGAGTCACATCTGTGTAAATGGGCTGCACTAGTCAACTGGAAGGAGGTGGTGGTAAAAACATTGAAATAGACCTGTTGCAAGAGAACCGGAACAGGGACATGAAGGGGCTAATTAGTTTGATGGGAGCAAACAAGACAGAGAAGGCCATCGAAAGGATGAGCAAGGCAGCTGGAGGAATCCGTAAGATTGTAGATGTTTTTGAAAACCAAGCTTCCATTAAACAAAAATCATCAGCTCACTCGCACAAGTCCTCATTGGAAGATGAAAAAAAAGTTCTTGCTGATTTGCGCAAATTGAAGCCATTTTCGTATGTTCAAGGAAGATCACATACAACATTTGCTGGAATTTCATCAAACCCACTTTGTGCTTTTGATGAAGAAAAGTTTTCTGAATGGTTGAAAAGACATCAAAAGAACATTGCATTACATTTTCCTGTTGTTAGTGACTTAGATTCTGACAGAGAGGAAACTGATGAACCAGAAGAAAATCAGAACTCTTAAAAGGTAGAACTCAGAACACTTTATTTATATATATATATATATATATATATATATATATATATATATATATATATATATATATATATTGTATATATTGTATAGTATTGTATATAGAGTATAGTATTGTATATAGAACCCATGTTTTTATGTTAACAAAAATATAATAGTTTTTTTGTACACTAGAATAATAATAATTGTATAATTACTATTAATTACTATTAATAATTTCTACAGTATTAGCAATATAAACTACATGTATTGGTGAAAATAAAGTTGCCATTGGGTAATTAAAAAAAAATGCAATAGACACTGCAAAATTGGTTAACAATTTTATTCAATGTTTCAACTAGGTTTCAGTCATCATCAGGCAACTGTAAGTTAGTAAAAAAACCATATAAAAATGTTAACCATCTTTGGAGAGTCTCTTGTTTTGTTCTTTTTAATGCATTGGTAAACTGTATGTAGTTTAGTCAAGATGTTCCTTTCTTAATCAATATGTACATTATGTTTCACAGCACTACATATGTTATTTATATTTGTTCTTAAATAGGATCTATGAAGTGCAACTAGCACAATCACATTCTTCACCACAAACACTACAACAGAAGTGTTTGGGAGAAAGTGGTTTAATGTACCTTTCATCTGTGTCCATTGATTTCAGCAACATATATCTGAGACATGTGCCTCTGTTTTGACAATAAACTCGAATATCTTCTTGCATCCCCGGTTTGTTTTTTGCAACATCCCGATTATTGTAATATAGGACTGCAGTTGCATGGTTTCCATCTCTCCCAGCTCTTCCAGTTTCCTGAACATACGCTTGTATTGTGTATGGTGGAGTGATATGCACAACACTTCTGATGCCTTTGATATCAACACCCATCCCCAAGGCTACTGTTGCAAATACAACCCTGATTGTGCTTCCTGTAGCACATGTCAACTGCTTCAAGACTTCATCCTTCATCTCCTTAGTTTGAGGCGAATGAAACTGTGCAAATAATCTGTTTTCAGGAATTGGTCTGCCTCCCTTGGGATAATATTGATCACATCCCAGAACAAATTCAAACAGTTTATATGCAAACCCGCACCACTTCAAGGGGATGTAGATTATTGTCAAAGGATAGCACATCTGCTGTTTTTTCAAACCTTCAGCTATAGGAGTAAGGATTTCTGTGAGAGAATCAATATCTGGTCCAGTTCTGAAATGCTTTTTGTATGTTATGTTCATGCGATCAGGATTGCCAATGATTTCCACACATGTTTTTAAGCCCAGGGATTTTTTGATACAATCCCTATCATATCGGTTTGCTGTTGCAGTCATGGCTATGACAGGTACATTTGAAAATGTGGCACACAAGGCACCCAGATTTCCATAATCCACTCTGAAATCTTTACCCCTGATATAAATATAAAACACATTGAAATGATAAATATATACTATACACTTGAAATTGCAAGACTTGTTTTATAGGAGGAAAAGTTGTGTAATATATACAATGTATTTTATGTAATAAAACACTTACCATTCTAAAATGCAATGGGACTCATCAACAACAATAGCACAAACGTTCTTTTGATACACAATGCTTCGCATCAATCTTCGTCCATATAAACAGGAAACAAGCGACTCAGGGTGTGCAAATACAATATTATAATATCCTTCTTCAAGTTTTATTTTGTCATTAGAGGAAAGTCACAAACAACATCAGATCTAATGCCATCATCTTTGTCTTCCGCATCCTCAGAGTCTTCTGCTGCTACGTTCCTAACGTCGAGGACTGATGCACGAATTATACCCGCATTTAATCGTGAAATCTGGTCTTTCATCAGAGCATTTAAAGGCGACACGACGACGATTATAGAATCAATGTGTTCGGTGTATTTGGCAACACCGTTCTTAGCCGCAAATAACAGAGCAGGAAGCAAGTAAAAAATCAATGATTTACCGTATCCAGTTGGTAAAACCGCAAGAACATCCGAATTAAAAAATACCTTTTCTAAGCAAATCACCTGTTTTGGCTTTAACATGAATTCGCTATACAAACTATTTTGTATTGCAAATTGCAAACACGAAAGGAAAAGCCCGCATTTAGAGTTTGAAAACATGGCGACAATACATATACATTAACTAACCCCCCCCAAGGATGAAATTATAATTGGAGACACGTGACCAAACAATACCAGGGTCTTTTCTCAGCGGGTGTTCCCCCCAGAGTGAGCACAGAGAAAAGACCCTGGGTACGAGGTTGGACTAAACCTTGCGTGTGGCGATGTCATTTTAAGCGCCGTTTACACTACAATCAATTTAATGGCACGGCACGGCTAAAATGGGTACCCGTGCTCAATTCATCCATGCCTGGCCTTTGTTTTGGTATCCTGAACACTAATAAAATTGGACACGTGTACTCATTTTGGCCGTGCCATGCCAAAAAATTAAGTGTAGTGTATAAACGGGACTTTAAGGCGTTTAAGTGCCTTTATAGTCGGCTGACTGAAATAGGAAAATATCAAAACCGTTTGACATTCGTGCATGCGCTTGGTTTTAAATGCAGCATACATGATATGTCGCCCTTTTCATATTTGATATTATGATATTAATAAATTTGACACTTATATTGGGCAAATTTTGCGCGTTGTTTATATACTTTAAGACGTCCCATAGTTGTGAAGCTATACTGAAAATTATCACCGTTAATGATGTTGTTCAGATATTCCATCAACTTGATATTCCTGTTTGTTATGAATATATGTTTCTTTTTCTCAGGAATATGTTTAAATTCCTTGGTCATAATAAGTTTCTGGAGATCAACGCAGCTTCGAAAGAAATTATGCTATTTCACGATAATGACTTTGTCCTGTTGCGATTTACTTGCGGTCTCAATTAATAATCCATTCATGGCTTATATTTTGGTTTTATGGTTCACTGGAGATGAAAATCGTCGGCGGTGGTTGGATAAGCATCTCGGAAACTCTAACAGCTGCATTCCTTGGTTTATCCATGCTCGCTCTTTTGGTGATGAATTTTGACCGATATTTGGCGACATATCATCCCATCTTTCATCGAACATCTGTAACGAAGGGGAAAATTTTGACCCTCTTTGCTGTGATGGTTTTTTTCTTACTCGTACTTTTACTGATGATTTTAAACTTTGCCATCACTTTCCATGTTGCTATCCTCATTTTTTTAACCATTTATACTCCACCGATGTTGTTCATAAACTACAAGCTATTTAAAATCACGAAGAAAGGTCGTGGAAACAGAGAAATATCACCTGATGTAAGAAAGACGTTTTCTTTGAAGAATATTTCGAGTTGCTTGCTAGCAGTCGCTTGTTTGGTGGCGTTATCCATCCCCTCGTTTGTCTACATTGGACTAAGGATGAACTTGAATGAGTGGAAAGCTTTTGATGTTGCACACCTTGTTGGAATGTGGGCTCAAACCATTGGCTCAATGAACGGTACATTTAACTGCTTAATCTTTTACTGGAAAAACACAATTTTACGCACCGAGGGAATGAAAGTTTTGAAAGACATCAAAATCTGTGGAAGTGGATTTTAATCGTAGAGCAATAAGTATTCTGCACCTGACCTTGCAATTTCAAAGACAATTCTGAACTCAGAGATGAATCTTGTCTTTTGACGTTGGACCAACACATTTATTAAGGGTGGATTTCACCTAGACATAAGTGGAAAGCAGCCTTAAGGAAACACTCGGTGGTGTAAGTTTTGTATGATTGTTATATATATGGATGGTATAAGGCGTAAGGATGAAATCAATTTCGTCTATTTAGGATTGAACATGGAATTATTACCAACTACTCAATCGCCGAATGAGATGATCTTAGAATATGAATATGAACGTTTTAGGTATAGTGATAACAATTGTCTTATTGGCTTATTCGGAAAAAGGTTGAAAATTATCGTTGAATTCCTGTCACTGATTTTTTATATTTTGCTGTGCCTTCAATGTAAAAGCAAAAAAACTCCAAAAGAGGTTGGGAACAAGCAATGGTAACGTGCTATCTGATAGCCTCCCAATACGATAGTTCGCTAAATTAGTATTTATTTTTACGACCAAATGAGTTCATACAACGATAATATTCGTAAATACCTGCTGTCATAAGAAACTTGTGGAAATTTCTAATAAGCGGAAATTTACAGCCCAATATTGATATTCGGATATGCACGTATTAACCGTCACCCCACCCCCCCACATCAACTCCTATTATATCGTATCTAGTTTTTCTTTGCTCGTGCAGAATGCAGCCATGTAAATAAAAAATTGAAAAACTCGGCTTGAAATTGCATCAGAGCGATGAATAATTATCAGTCTTTAAAAGCATTCAGAGTAATGTGAGTGTAACAGAATGTAGCAAGTTTTTGGTATTTAATTTTAATTTAAAGCAACCAAAAATATCTCTCCGCAGCTATGGCATATTAGAGACCTTTAGTTTGACGTTTACGGCAAACGCCAAACCGCTAGCAAAGTTTGTGTTTTAACTTCACTCTCCTTAAGTAAGCGGCAATTTCGCTAAATTACAAACGTTCTACATAAAACTTGTGATGTTCAGCAGTAATGTAAGAAAGCAATAGGCTATTTCTGATGTATTTAGAAAAACAGCAAATTCAGCTTTGCCGTATAAGTTTCACGTTCGCCGTATAAAATTTAATGCTTGAACGGCTGAGGGTATATGCAGTCGTTCAAGCATTAAATTTTATACGGCGAACGTGAAACACATACGGCAAAGCTGAATTTGCTGCTTTTCTAAATACATCAGAAATAGCCTATTGCTTTCTTACATTACTGCTGAACATCACAAGATTTATGCAGAATGTTTGTAATTTAGCGAAATTGCCGCACACTTAAAGAGAGTGGAGTTAAAACACAAACATTGCTAGCGGTTTGGCGTTTGCCGTAAACGTCAAACTAAAGGTCTCTATTTTAGCAACGCCGCCGAGAGAAATTGTGGGGCCTGGGGCAAATTTTTGGGGGCCTATGACGTCATGGTTTTAAATATCTCAGTGCGAGGCATAAAAAGTACCTCAAAGTGATGTGTAATATTTAACAAACAAACTTTTTTACAAACAATATCAACGTATCTTAGAAATTAGAAATTAATAACAATGACTGTCCCTCGTACTTTCAGCTCATGTGCGAAAAATACACTGAGCCCAAGGTGCTTTAATTTTAGGTTTTTTCTTAAAAGTCGGGGACTATGCCCCACTTGCCCCTTCCCCTCCCCCCCTCTCGTCGGCCCTGTACTTTAGTGGTGCCGAATGTGGTGCAGAGGAAAATTTTTCGTATCGAAAAAGGAATTTCATTTATGCAAACACTGATACCATAGATATAATATACCCGGATGGCTATCTATGACTGATACACGTGGCCATAGATTTGTCAGTTCACTAAACAGTAAACATATTCAGTGGGTTGCTAGCGCGAGCGTGTATAATGAGTGTGAATACTGTGGGCTTGTATACCCGGCTTATAAGCCGAAGAACGTCGACAGTTACAGAGCCAGATCGATGCAGTGATTCACTTATCAAGGTTCGTAAACTTTTTATTATCCACACTAATGCAAATTGCATTTCTGTATCAGTGTTTGCTGCTTTATTCTTGGACTGTATACAACGACATTTACATCAATATAGTAAGTAAAATAGACTTCAATCAATTCAATCACAATAAAGTGATTGATAAAGTCCAGCTACGTGGCTACCCCAAGACTTGTATTTGGGTTAAAGCTAGGGCCTACGGAGCTACGAGAATCATGCAGCTAATTTGAGCTATTTTGTAATATTTGCCTAAGGCCTGTTTTAAACGTTGTGCTTCTCATGTGCCGAATAAAAAACAATAGTTAATGATGATGCATCTCAATTATAGCTATTGTTTTAAATGGGTTTGGCGCATGAGAAGGAACGACGTTTTAAGGGGCTGTTTACATGAGCCCCGGTTACCCGAGATTCAACAAAGCGTAAGAGGACTTTGAGGTATTGAAATAAATCTAGTATGACACCAATATGACACCAAAATGCTATTGTTAAGGTGATAATACGACTGCCAAGCTCTTGTTATCTGTTCATTTTAACACCTCAAAATCATCTCACGCCTCGTTGAATCTCGGGTAACCGGGCTCATGTAAACAGCCCCTAAAACAGGCTAAAGTGTCGCTTCAAATCGATCAGACTATAGGGATAAAGGCGGTCTTACACTATGCATCTTTCCTTGCAACTCGCATTCCAATTCTACACCTGACGCATCTAAAGTTGTCAAATACGAATATTTATTACGACTTGCCAACGTTTTCTTAGTATTTCGAATTTCAAACCTAATTTACCGATTAACATCTCTCAAAATCATAATTGCATTGCAAGTTAGAAGGAAAATTGCATAGTGTAATCGTGCCTTATATACGTCTCTATTCTAATGACGCAAATATAAGATAATATAATATCAAATATAATATCTTGACAACATTGATAATCAGTTGAGATGTTTTAAATAGTGTAACGGCCTGGTCCTCACTAGTGAACTTAAATACAGTAAAGGCCTGGTTTTCACTATACATGCACACACAGGGCGCAGTGAACAGCTCTAAGCAAAATTTTCAAACTCATCACTCGTACAATTAATCCCGAATTGTACTCGCCATCGGATGATG